AAAAATTTCATCATCACTATAGCCGGACCTGAATGTAGGCCACACATTTTCAACCCAGTCATTTGTAATTGATCTGTCAACAACTTCTGACTCACCTGAAATTTTTCCATGGACAATATTGTGGCGAGCTCGGAAACGTTGAACCCAGGAAGCATTACACCTAAAATCCTTCTTCAAAATCACAGCGAAAGCGTCAGTCTTTACCTGAAGCATCAGCCAACTCACGAGTACATTGTTTGCCGTTGTTGTTTGAACCAATCGAGCAAAGCACTTTCAATGTCACTTTGATTTGATAACCGAACACGATTTTCTTTTTCACTCTTATTAAATTGCATAATAATTTTCTCTCGCCTTTTCATCATTCCAGCAATTGTTGACCGTGACGTTTTAAATTTCCGGGGCAATCGAACTCGCGGAATTACCAGAATCGACTCAGCAAATTATTCTAAACTGTTTCTCAATAGTAAATTGTTTCCGTGACATGTCTTCTATGAAGGCTAGACACAACTGAATTCAAATTCAGAAACTCTTGGCTTGGGCCAAATGGTGTAATATAAACAAAATTTTGTAATACAATGGACCCGCCTTGGGAGGTCTAAATGTCTAAAGGACAAGTAATCAAGTGTAGATGCCTGCCTGGATGTACTATAACCATAAATTAATAAATCCTTACTTTTCATTTCGTGGTACTAAATATCGGTGGTAAATACTTTGAAACTTAATTATTAAGATGTGGAAACAACATTATAATAAACATTGTATCTACTGTCATTTACATCATGCGTTGGTTATAATTATTTATTATTTATTTATTATACAGTGTGTAAAAATGACAGAGTTGGAAAAAATGGATGTTGTACCATCTGGAGTATAGATATGTACTTGAAATTGTACGCGTACACTGTAACCAATATTTTAACTGCTAGTGTTTCAAGAAATACGTTTGCTCTAACCGATTTATTCTTTATAAGCAATATAAATGCGTTTTTTTGTATGTCATTTTATGGGACCTACTATTTTGTTTGTTATATCCGATTGTACGTTATAGCCGGTGTCGTTGTAAACGATTTTGATTATATATATATATATATATATATATATATATATATATATATATATATATATATATATATATATATTGTTGTACTTTTGAATGTCCATAAGCAATAAAAAACCGATATACAAATTTTATTACTTAAATAAAAATTAAAATTATTGATATTTCATAATGACACGGGCATATAAATTTTCAAACATCCTGTATAAGACAAAATATGTATTTTAAGTTGTTCAAAGAATTGTTCATTAGGCCTCAGAGACAAGACTTTCAAATATTATCGATAAGAAATTTAAATAAGTCGGTTATTGTGAAATGGATTTACCCGTAATAAAAGTGTATATAGAAAGTGTTTAAACAATAGACCGGGATGTGCGGTGGTTTTTCCCCCGAAAGATTATATCGGTAAAAGTTTATTAACAAAAGACATTGAATTGAGAAACAGGTATCGTTTGTAGCTATTAGTAAGAAATATTTGTAAAGCAGATAGATTTAGTTAGAATAATTAAAGAATGTTGTTTTCTGGAATTACCCGAATGACGTTTTATAGAGAGAGTTGGTTGGTAACGATATACGTCACAGAGGTAGAAGATTTTTATTGGTCAATTTTTGAATGCAAGGAGGGAGTGGTTTTGGCTATGAGATAGGAGAGAGGAAAGGAGTTAGTCAGTTTTCGTCGCCCAAGAAGGAAGGAGCTTTGTGGTTTGTGTTTTTTTTGAAGTCCCGAAGACGTAATTTACCGGGTGTGTTTATTTGCTGTGTAAAAGCTGATCAGTGTGAGGAACGGGGTACAAAGAGATAGAAAAACCAAAGGGTATAAGAATATTAATATCAGACGAAGCCGGAAACATTTGAAGTTATAAACAGTCGCGGAGATTGGTTCAAAAGGAGGCTGCATAGAATTACACGAGTTGTTGGGTTGCAGATACAAGGACAGATAGGAGAAAGGTGTACGTCTTCTGGACCAAAATAGGAGCAGAAGCAGAGAAAGGTTTTTTTTTATGGCGTGGCCATAGAATTGCAACGGCAGATAACGAAAGGTCAGTCAATTTTCATTAGAGCAGGAGTGTGGTTTTCATTTATTAATTAAATAAATTGAATAAATAATAGAGACAGTTAATTTTGCGATCATTTAAAGAAAAAAATTATAAAGAGAGCTTAGTTATAACACATATTAAAAATCAATGTAAAATAACATTTGGGTCCATGATAGAAAACAACTTCTCATATATTTAAAGTATTGTATTGCAAATATTACAGGATTGATTGTTATATAAAATTTCAATAAAATAAAGGACATCTCACATATACTTCAGTTGAAATTCTGTGTATTTTATTCAGGTCATATTACCTATCCCAATTAGGAAGCCAATTGGAAAATATTTTGAATCCACGATCAAAGGTAAATAGTACAAGTTAAATAGCCTGAGATTGTAATTAATTAATGCTGATTTATTGTGATTAATTGGAGATTAGATCATTTAATAAATATAGACAGGATCTTTTCTAAATAAGCAATAGAATACAATTTAAATAGCATAACAATATATATATATATATATATATATATATATATATATATATATATATATATATATATATATATATTAATAAAGTATTCAACTAGTGAATTCAGAGGTTTATTCGGTCAGTCAGGTTGGCAAAATAAAAAACAGAAGTCAACTACTTCATAAGTTTATCGAAGACGTTTCGCTTTATATTTCTAAAGCTTCATCAGTTCTCTAAAATACAAAGATGACATAGAGTTTATAAGAAATACAGATCTAATAATTAATTACTTACAACTCAATATGTAGTATTAAAGATGTTATCGTATATGTACTTAAGTTTACTCATAAATTTAGAACTAACTTAAAAAAAATTAAACAGAAATATGCAAAAAATAACATTCGCAGAAACGAAGATTTACAAAAACTTCAAACGTACATTTGGCTTCATTTAGAGATGGTTCTCCAATGAAGACAAACAAAACACTGATTTATTGCAATCTACGCAAAACGACGTGGCGCGATACCGAAAATGTTTTTCAAGGGCCATATGTTTTCAACAAATTCCAAGGTTTGAGACAATTATGAACTTCTACGGGGGTCATTGAAAGAATAGTTGGACGGGTGGATTTGTAACGGAAAAATTTGATATGATTTTTTTTTTGTAATTTATGTTTTAATGAAACTTAGAGCTTTGGGATGATTATGTTATTGTTTTGAATGGAAAATCCGGCTATTTTAAATTATGAATATTGGTATTATTTATTTCGTAAGATGAGAGAGTGGTAAACCTGGCTCAAATTGTCAATGTCGGTTCTTTTGTTTATTGCAGATGGGTTTTTTAGGATCTCACACATTTCAATAAAGGAGCGTTTTTGATGGTTATTTTGTTTGGCCAGTATTTTAGTATTTGAGAAGTCAATGTGATGTTTGGTGGAAATGGCGTGTTGTGCAAGGGCACAAGAGGGTTTGGAAAGTCTAATGTCGCTTTTATGTGAAGTTATACGCCCTAGAAGTGAACGACTGGTTTGGCCAATGTAGCAGGAATTGCATTCAGAACGTGGGATTTGATAGACAACATTAGTGTGCTCTAACGAGCTTAGTGGAGTTTTGGACTTGGAGAATAACTTTCCAATAGTTTTAGTGTTTTTTAGGGATATTTTGACGGGTAAGTTTTTGAATAGTTTAGTAAGCTTGTTCGTAACTTGTGGGAAATATGGAAGAGAAGCATATTTTGTGGCTGGTTTCGGGGTTAGCGGGGAATTGTCAGTCTAGTTGAATACTTTATTAATATAAATTGACGGTCGTAGTTTTTACAATATATATATATATATATATATATATATATATATATATATATATATATATATATATATATATATATATATGTATATATATTATATATACATATAAGTTATTATGTACTAGAATAATGTGGAATAGTTCACCTCTATTTCGCTTGTTTGACGGCTCGATCTCTCACCCGGTTGATACATCCGGAACATTCAAGAACGCACATCATCGTTGTCGAGATGCAACAGTTATATGGGCTATGTCGAATGCATGTTCGTTACAGTATTTAAAAATCTATACGATCAACTTGATATCAGAGCGAGTGAAAAGAAGATATATAAAATATACAAACATCAAACGAAGAAATCAAAAGATTTTAATTAAATTAAGCACATATATAAAGAAAATGGTAAAATACTAGGTAACAAACGACGGAAAAAATACTTTGACAGTTTATTAAAGAAGTTAGCAGAAAATCAGTTGAACTATTGGACAGATATAACAGAAATAAATGGTCTTCAAAATAACAAATGAAGAAGTTGCCCAATTACTTCAAAAATAAATGAAAGTAAAGCAGTTATACCAGATGATATCCTTAGAAAAGTGGGGGCAGCGTTAGAGGAGAAGAAAAAGTTTATTTAATAGAATTATGGAAGTAACACAAATTCCAGCCAAAAGGAGAAGCAGTAAATGAGTATCTGTTAATAAAAATAAAGGGAAAATGCATAAGGCCCAACAATGGATAAGCTACAGTGCCATAAAACTACCTAAAAACACTATAAAAAAAAATATGGGAAAAGGTACTTAATTGGTACGAAGAAACTGAAATTTACAAAATCAGTTTCGATTTATGCAACTCAGATCAACTACAGAAGTAATTTTCATAACAAGTTAATTTATTGAAAAATATAGGAATAAAGAAACAAACTCTCATATGGTATTTATTGATCTAAAGAAAACATATCATATTGTTTTTCTAAAAGTACGTAAGAAAAGATTCACTAAGAAAAGAGTTACTGGTGAGAATTTTAAACATTGTGAGAGATATATTCGAAGGAGTAACAATTGGTGAAAAAATAATTTTAACGGACTATTTTAAACAAAAAGCATTGCGAATCATATACTTATCCATTTTTACTTACACTGAAGTAGTTCTTATCAATGCCCATTCTTTCATAAAAGGGGATAGTCATCAAACTTTCTTCCAGCTGTCTCAAGTTTAGTGTAAAGAACTGATCTATTGCTGTTGATTCTGTTTCACTAGCCAACAATTTATCACTTTTTGTTTGAAAATGTTTGCCCTTAAAATAAAAATAAGTTAAACAATTAGTAGTATTCTGAAATAAATCAGTGATTTCAAATAATTTATTTAACGAAAATCCCAACATAAAAGGTTGATGACTTTATTAAACGGTGTTAACAATTTATTGACTGACCATGCACATAATGCTTAACTAAAGACAGGTTATATTAAAAAATTATGTACTAAGATTAAAGGTATGAACAAGTCCTTTTATTAATTGTATTATGAGAAAGAACTACAATGTAGTATTAGTAAATATATTATAATGACGTTTCGTTTTCCAGACTGATATCCATTTAAAAAAACTAAATGAACTATCTTGTTTTTACGTCAAAAAGAAATAGATTATTATCATAATTTAATTTATATAATATCCAACTAAAGTCTCCGGTTAATATGATTTTTAAACCATCCATCGGTATCATAAAAGATAGATGGATTGAACATTCAACATTGTTAGATCTGTGTGTTATCCTGATAGAACACATACAGTGCGCGCGTAAAGTATGGAAACATAAAGATACAGTACTCGCCAGTTACGAAGAACCACCACAAATCCTTATTTTCGTACCGATTCGAACCGAGCGCCTTGCTTATATATTTGTCGACGCTGTCAGTAGCGCAGCGGTAATTATTCGGTGCCGTTAATTATATAAAACAATATAAGGTTGAATGTTCGAATAATTGAACTTTGATGGTATACAAGGCAAATATCGAACACAGTAATTAATTAAATCTTGCCCAAGTACTTTCGATCAATAGATTAATAGACAGATTCTGTCTCCGGCTTCTATGTAACATGTAGCTTCTCCATTTTAAAAAATTTTAAAGTGTTTGTTTGTCTTTGTGTATTGTATTGTTATGTCCAAATTTACATTATGACATTCTGCTCATGTCGGATAGGCCACAACTGACGAAATGCCCCTGAGGATGATCGAAATTGATCGAAAGTACTTGGGCAAGATTTAATTAATTACTGTGTTCGATATTTGCCTTGTATACCATCAAAGTTCAATTATATAAAAAGCATATTCACACCACTGTCCACCTCTTCGGATACAGTCGGCAGACGTCACATGCGCGAATTTGGATCTTCCTATATGTCATTTACGACAATTTACAAATTTACAAATAGATCAATTTGGTTTTAGCAATATGGAGCGAATCCTCATTATCTTCGAGACATTCGTGAGTTTCTCGACAATATATTTTCAAATCTCTGGATTGGAAGAAGAGGAGCTATCGAATGGTTAGCAAGATCCCCGGAACACCCCTAGAATATTCTTATGGGGTTATTTAAAAAGAAAAGTGTATATAAATAGGCCATAAACCATCTAAGAACTGAAAGACAAAATTACAGAAGAGAATCACTAATTTATCTGGAAACAATTAGAAAAGTCTTGGATGAATTTTCATTCAGAATGGATTGCATTTTCCAACGATAAGGTGGTCATATTGAATACTACCTTTAATTTTTTTAGCAATATTAACTATAAAATAAAAATATTTTTCCTAATTTCTGGATGTTAATGGTCAATATTGGCCATTAACAGATTATAATATGTTGCATCGGCAATAAAAAACTGTAAGGTTGGCTCCACACATGGGGGGATCCAACGTTGACGCCAACGCAACGTTGGGTCAACTGTGTTCCCACGTTCGGTGAGGCATCCACACATTGGAGTGAGTATTCAGGCGAGGCGATATTAGTCTATTCCCTCTAGAGCCAACGTCAACATGTCCGACATGGAAATTGCAGCGACTGTGACTGTCGTGATAAGTGTATATGATTGTATTTCGTAACGATATATTTTGCTTACCTCAGGGTAAGAACAAGGAGGAGAAGATTGGACAAACAAAATAATCGAAACTAGTGCTTAAGACACTGAGAGGGTTGTTGGAGAGCTGGGTCGTGGATAAGTTTAAATAAAATTGATCGGATTGGGGTATCTACAAAATGAAAACAAAGGGATACTTACATAAATCTCCTGGGCAATTAATACAACAAAAAAAGCTTCTAGCAATTTAAGATAAGGGCGCCGCTTCGAAGGATCCTAGTTTGCTGAAGGAAAGAAAAAATTCTTCTTCCCTAAAATCAAAAATACATACAAGGATTAGGAGACTTTTCTAAATTAAAACACAAAATGGATCAGAAAACAAATCAAACGTTTATTTTTGTCTCAAACAAACAGTTTTCAAAAATACAGATTACACAAGAAGCATACTATATAACATAATACAAATTAACAAAAACTTACGTGTTATTTATTTACAAAAGAGATTGCTACAACAATTTTTTAAATGGTTCCTAGGTTATAATATGGAAACATCAAAAGATTATCAAAACTTAAGGATATCCTTTTTATGAAAATACTGTAGAATTTAACCTTATATATGAAATATCTTCTACATATAATAATCAAATTGAAATTGTTTTACAACAACAATAGATTAGAGCAAATGTCATATGTCAACATAACATTTTAAGACAGCATAAAATAAGACATTTTTTAGCTACCACTCTAACATAATATAACACTTTAATTATTACAAATTCTTTTATTTTAATGAAAGCAATTATTAACAATGTTTATTTTACTTGAAAAATATAATATATTGAATCGTTACCTTAATTCACATATTGCACTTAACTTTGAAACTTGCTAAACATCTATGGGATATCTGGACATATTCTCCAACAGGAACAAGGAAACCATTTCCATACATAGGAACGACGATCAAAACATGTTTGGTGGAAGAATCAAGCTGGCAAACGACAACAAGGCTGGTGGGACATCCTATATACTATTCTTAAAAAAAAGCCCATCTGTATCCGGTAGGCTGTACAAATCCTCTAATGACTACTCTGTCAAAACTGCTATTGCAAAGAGTATTATCACTTTGACTGGTCTTAAGACATCACAAAAAATGAATCGACTTCCGATTCAAAATCGTCCAAACATATATATCATCTCAAATCTATTGCTTCACTCTCGTCCGCAAAACGTCTTCCCGTTCAAATCCCGTTTCAAATCTTTCCTTCCACCGCTCTCTGCGTTACATTCTACAAATTCGACGCCACAATTCCATTTCCCTTTTGGTCTTGTAGCTAGTTTGTCATCTACAAACTTAAAACAAACAATATCCCCCTTGATATTCGTTCTTAACAAACTCGAAACGACAACAAAAAACTTGAAATATCTACTTTAAAATAGCAGAAATATCACGTACGAATTGGGGGATTTTGAAATGTACATAAAAACAACACGCATTTTATTGATTATTCAAACGTCCCTAATTTTAAACCGGAATTTCTACCGGACATTGCAACAGAGACAAAAAATATTTGAGGCATTATTACGCATTTAAGAATCTCTATATAAACAACCAGGGGCGTACTACAAAAATTTAAACTGAATCTATATTATTGCATAGACATTAAATATCAAATTAAAACGCTACAATGTTGCTAAAAAAGTATAACATTATGCGCTACAAGGCATAATGCCAAAATTCGCTCCAACACAGCTTTGTTGGTACACACATTGGACGAACGATGTTAGGGCCATATGTGTGAAGCCGGCGTAACAAAAGATTGTATAATATACGGGTGGTTCCATTTAAAAATACGCATATTACCCATATATCTCAGAAACTGTATATTTGGCAACGTCAAAAATATAAAATTATTAAACTGCTTGTTCATCTAATATATATATATATATATATATATATATATATATATATATATATATATATATATAAACCAATATTTTGTTATAGTTTATTCGTCTTCGGGGTTTGGACCGTGTCATTTGTGAGTGACCCAAAAGTGGGTTCATCTCGACGTTTCGCTACAATTGTATGTAGCTTCTTCAGGAGAACAAAGAAAAATTCATACATTTTTTTCTCCCATTCTGCAGTTGCAGAACACTGCCAAGAAACCGGTCATTCCATATTGTTCGAAAAAACCCATATTATTTCTAAGAGCCCCTTCTTTTATTCCAGGAAAATCCGCGAATCTCTAGAGATCCGAAAAAATCCACATAATATCAATCGAGAGGTAGGATACTACTTGTCTCCCATCTGGAATCTCAGTCTAGAGCCGCCGTCCGGTCCCGCTACCACGATGCAGCCACATGATTGGCCAGCGCGCGCTTCTTGACGTTCGCGCCACGGAGTGTGCCGATACGTCCCGACACGACAGGTCACCGCGACTATAAATAGAGCGGTAGCGGAGTAATCGTCGGATTCACTCCCCGCCTCTCGACGCGTTAGTGTTCTGAGCTGTTGGACGTGAATCCCTGTTCTGGCATTTGGTTTTCACCTCTGGCTGCGTTAAGTAGTTGAGTTACTGTGACCAAATGCCCATCTTGGTAGTTAGTATTCGCCTCTGGTTGCGTTGAGTAACTGAGTTACCGTTGCTAACTACCCATCTTCCTGTCTTTTGATTTCTTTTTCTTTGTTCTCCTGAAGAAGCTACATACAATTGTAGCGAAACGTCGAGATGAACCCACTTTTGGGTCACTCACAAATGACACGGTCCAAACCCGGAAGACGAATAAACTATAATTCTGACTCTGGCCGTGGAAGCCTACGATTTCAATCAATATTTTGTTACTAGATCACATAGGGTGTCACAGATATCTATATGTTTCCATACTTTACGCGCGCGTTATATATAACACAGTTAATAACATTAAGACTCTAAAACAAACGATTCGGGAATAATGCAGATCCATCTTCAATGAAACCCCTGAATATATTCAAGAAAAGTTTTAAGCCACAAGTTTGATTTACCAAGAAATCAATAGTAAACATTTTGAAAATTTTATTGAGTTTGTCAACAGAGTCTTGTTTAATTGTGTAATTCTTTGGCGTTCTGTGTTTGCTACTCTTCAATGTCTAGAGTGAAGCGCTATTTAAAGAAGTCCTCTCAGATTCAGGCAGGGGGTTTATGTATCAGTGGAGAACTTTGTAATAATTCATATTTTGCAACGATACGAAAAAAAACGACTGATAATAACTATGATTTACAGACCGTAATGTGATTCCTTAATATATGTCATAACGAATAAGAGTTTAAGATCAATTTGAAGAAAACTAAGTGCGTGGTCATAACTAAATCAGCAGATTACTGGTTATTGAAGATATTGTAATTAAGAGCTTGGATACCCACAAATACTTGAAAACATCAAATATAGACCAAACCAAATTAATCAAGACGAGTGTTGAAATAGCATGTACATCATTCAATAAACTTAAAGTTGCTATGTTGTTACGATATAAAGTTAGACACTGTTACACTTCTCTACTTTTCTTTATGACATGATACTAAAACAAATTATATTGTATGCTAGCTGTTTAACGACCCCAACCTTCTCAAACATATAAAGAGAACATTGGTGTTCGAGATACGCCGTGATAGGTGATTACAATCTGCCGAAGGCGTTGTGGTCCAATGAAGAGTATAAGACAGCACAGAGTCCAGCAAGTTATCCAGTAATTGATTTGGCTCAATCTTTTGGTTATAATATAATTTTTCAGCATAATAACATACCAAATGATGGCAATATATTTTTAGATTTAATTTTTCCAATTCTAGAGATTATGTTGTAATTAAGGTCATTGATTTATGAATTTTAGTTTGCATCACATCGGCTACGATTTTAGTATAACTTCTTTAAAAGAACATGAGTCAAGAAATCTTTTGATCATTGATCATCTTTTGGTCATCTATTGATTGGGTAAAATGTCTAAGCAATATTGGCATAAATGATGCAGTTGGGTGTTGGGTATCTATAAAAACAGATATCCGTTTTTCTGGAAGTCAACCATAATCGTCACAGCTTAATGTTTTATGGTAATCAAACTGCTATTGATGGTCAAAAAATGACAAATTTGTTTATTTTTGCAATCAATCAATCAAAACACTTTGTACCCTCTTGAAAATAAAGTTATAAATATTAGTAATAAGATAAGTGCACAGAAATTTCAAAGCTAGAAATCTTTAAAAGGAAATTGCGGCTCTTCCAAATAAGCTTACAAATGGTCCTGATGGTATTCCTAACAGGTTGCTAAAAAATGTCTTCTTCTTCCTCTTTATAAGCAATTCTGCTTGTTCATTGGCGGATTAATACCTCTATGGAAGGTTGTCACTTCATCTTTTGCCCAGTCATCTGATACTTCTTCTGCCGATTGGTGACTTATCTCTTGCTATTTTGACGACATTGGTTATGTGGTTATTCCATTATTTTTTTCTATTTTGTGTCCATTCATTTATACACTGTATGTTACATTTTCTTCTAATGTCTTCATTTCTCTTTTGATCTCTCAGAGTATTTCCTGTAATTCTTCTCAGTACTCTCACCTCTGTCGTTTCCAGTAGCCTTTGCGTTGTGGCTGTGTCGGGTCTTGTTTCTGAGGCATATGCCATTATTGGTCTTACACTGGCTTTATAAATTCTTGACTTCATCTCAGTGGTAATGTGTCTGTTTTGCCATATAGGGTTATTAAGGCATCCTGCCAGTCTGTTTGCTTTTTGTACTTGATATCTCACTTCTTCGTCCAGGTCTCCATAGCTAGGCAGTGTAATTCCCAGGTATTTTATTTCCATTACTTGTTCAGTACTAATGCTACCAATTTCTATTTTACATCTGGTTAGTTCTTTGCTGACTACTATTGTTTTAGTTTTCTGAGATGAGATTGTCAAATTTACCTACTTCTGTACGACACAGTGAATGCAGTAAACATTGTAACGGGCATGTTCTAAACAATGAGATCTCTAGGAATTTGCCAATGATCGTCTCAGTCGCTTTTCAACTGTTGACGTTTTCATGACGTGTAAGGGCAGAGAGGGATGATCGATTCATTGTTCTGATTGCCTTGCAGAATCGGCACGTAATAGAAGTTGAGCTTCAACAATTATTGAGCGTAGTACGAGGTGTCATCGTTACTTAGTGAACAGTTATGAGAAGGCTGCCACTTTGACTCCCAGACAAGCTAACACAGGGCCCAATAAAATGACTTTGACAAATGGAGCAGAGTTTTATTCTTCATGAGAGTCGAGTGTGTTTGTATAACAATGACAGAAGATGACGCATCTATCAGAGGCCACGAGAATGATTTGCCTAGTGCTGCAGTGTTGAAACAGTGAGCGAGTGAGAGGTGGTTCGTGTATGATTTGGGATGGTAACAAGACCACATTGTTATTCATATGCGACGGCTTCATGCTAATGCATGCAACAATAGACTGACCCCCATTGAATCTGGATATGAATCCCATCGAGCACCTATGAGATGAACTTAAATGCATGGTTCGGGTCTATAATACAACACCGTTGATAGTGGCGGAGCTAAAAATTGCATTAGACGAAGATACAGACCTTAAGATATGGCATGGAAAGTGTAATGCAACTCAGTTGAGGAAATACTCATGTATTTCTGTTGAGTATTAATTTTGACTTTTTATGTTAATTTACTTTTATATCCATTACATTATGACTTTCATTGAATACATGTTTTCTCACATCCAATATTAAGTTATCTTTGTTATGTTCTTCACTTACCAACTTTAGAAAAATATAGGTGTCTTTGCAATAAAAATTACTTCTTTTTACAATATTTTACTTTTAATTTTACATATATGTGGATGTACCCTGGCCAAACAGCATAGTCATAAATATAGTTTATTTTATTTTTGTGTCAATTTTTTTTGCTTATAATTGTATATGCATGCAGTTTTTAGATTGGATTATACAGTAACTTTTGTATATATATATATATATATATATATATATATATATATATATATATATATATATATTAATAAAGTATTCAACTAGTGAATTCAGAGGTTTGTTGCTCCAATCATTGGAGAACCATCTCTAAATGAAGCCAAATGTACGTTTAAAGTTTTTGTAAATCTTCGTTTCTGCGAATGTTATTTTTTGCATATTTCTGTTTAATTTTTTTTTTTTAAGTTAGTTCTAAATTTATGAGTAAACTTAAGTACATATACGATAACATCTTTAATACTACATATTGAGTTAGAACTGATGAAGCTTTAGAAATATAAAGCGAAACGTCTTCGATAAACTTATGAAGTAGTTGACTTCTGCTTTTTATTTTGCCATCCTGACTGACCGAATAAACCTCTGAATTCACTAGTTGAATACTTTATTAATATATATATATATATATATATATATATAAAATATATATATATAATATATATATATATATATATATATATATATATATAATATATATATATATATATATATATATATATATATATATATATATATATATATATATACTTATATTACCTTAGTTATGGGAGCATCAGCTAAAATAGCAAAATCAGTATCTGTTGTTGATACACTTTCATCTTGTTTTTCTTCATCTTCATATCTATACCAGTTTGATTCCAAATTGGGTTTTGATTTTTGAGGAACATACTTGGCATTTTTTGTAGAATTACCTTTATATTTTTTCTTATCTTTGATATGTTTTAAACCCCTAAAATCAAAAACTAGTAATGTAATTTTAATACAATACCTTATAGGTAATTGAATCACCTAGCATAAAATACCCAAAATATTACTTGAAAATAAATACTGCTGTTGTCCATACAATTCAATTTATGCTCAATGTAATTTTTTATGAAAAAAGATACTTCAAATTAAATGCATATCAAATGCCTAGTATTCTATACATAAGATGATTATGTTTCTGATTTGAATATGCAAATCAATAAATATTTATTATCACTTCAAATCAAATTGTGATTTGAAGGGATTCTCATAATTGATTTGAACTGTTAACATAATTAATCTTGGTCAGTAGGGGAAATTATATGTGCATGGTTCAGTGTAAGAGAGAGTTTTAGAAAAAAAACGGAGCATGGCACTTGTTAAGTGACTACTTCTTATAGCACGTTATTACTATATGTGGGTTAATGAAATTTTACATCTGATTATTACTAAATTGTTAATAAGTTTTACATTTAAGTTCTTTAAAATTGAAAAAATCTTTTTTTTTTTTTTTCTTTAATAATTGTAACCATCTTCAAAATTTGTTAAATATAATTTAAAATTTTAATTACATTGCATTTAAAAAAATATGTATGTATGATATAGTTGATGAGTAGAGCAATAAGTGTATGTATGTATACATATTATGTGTATTATTATACTGCAAGAGTCTCAGTCATGCTTGACATTGATTCGGGCCTGTGCAAAAACATTCACTTCAATCAAATTTAAGTAGTTTATATTTTGCATATTTAATTTGTAAATTGTGCCAATTGTGACATTTGAAAATCAATAGCAGCACTTAAAATTATATAGAATATTAGTGGGAAGTTAATTTGCAATTTAATAGCATTACTATAAATATAAGAAATACCTAACAAGTAGTATTATTATATATCAAAAAGGTGAAGATATATTTATTATCATATTTTTCATAAATTATTCTTGGAATGGTTCAAAGAATTTTTCTTTTCACTTTATTGTGGGATCACACTATTTTGTCTATTCATTAGTGCTAAATTAAAAAAAAAATTGATGTCATAGTTGAATATCTGTGATATTAAAAAATAATTTTTTGTTTGATATATTATTTAAGTACTTAATATCCAGATTAATTTAAGATGATTCAAATATGGGTGGCAGAATAGTAGGTCCATTTGCTAAGCTCGAGCATATTTTGATAGATTCATAGTTGGAAACATACAACACAAAAATTTTTACCTCTCAGTATTAATAGCTCAAAATATACTTACTATTGTAGAGATCTTCCATTGAAAAAAGAAAAATTATTCTAAATAGTTAAAGTGTATAGTAAATCCATAAAATTTTTCCTGTATATTTAAAATATAATATTTAAGTTGATATAATTTAACATATTGTATAGGTTATTCCACGAATATACGACTGTTTTGGATTATTGCGACAATGAATATTTTACTGTGCAAGTAGAAATATGAAAGTAAATTGGTCTAATTATTATTCCAATAAAAAGGATCTATGATATAATATATATGATAGTATGACATCTAAACTAAAATTATTTCAGGTAATAGATGTTCAGATTTAATGTAAAATTTAATATGAAATTTAATCCGAAAATAACAAAAATAAATACAATGACGTCTATAAGCCAAAGGTGTTCATCCGACATTTGGGTTGGGTTTCCCTGAAATGTAAACACCAAAGAGGCATACCGGGTTTCTTTTATATTACACTGTTTTATTACTTTATTAGGTACCACAACTGTAATAAAAAGAAATATACTATTTTTAATATAATTGAAAGGAAATTGGCAGAATGATTATGGTTCGGAAACCAGAAAAAGAATCTAATATTTCACTTTGTTAGTTTAGTTAGTATTTAACTTTGTTAGTTTTAAATATTTGTTGGCTTTGAGTGGAGTATAGACGATTAGAGGAATAAGAGAATAAGTAAGTTTTTTTGTTTTTTAATACTAATTGAATATTCGTCTACATAAATTACATCATTCAATCAATTAGGTATTGTTACACTTTGTTTAAATCACTTAATTTAAAAACCATCTTGTTAACAATGCTAAACTCACTGATAGTAATTATATACTTCAAAATCCGAATTACAATTGTTCTATAAACTATCAACTCTATATTTATATCATGTCTTCATATTTAAATCTAAGCTTTATATCTGTCATAACAGTATTTTAAAAATGGGGAGAATTTACCATTGTACAATTCAGTACATTCGACCATTTAAATTGACACCTTAAACCCGAATTTAAAACAGTCGTATATTTGTGGAATGGAGTACAGTAAACACTTGTTTTTTTCATGTTGTTTATTTTAGTTAATATAGTTTTATTGTTCTATCATTTTTGTTTAATTCTTTGTTAGTTCTATTTAGTTAATTAGTTATTATGGATAGTCAAAGTTTTCCACTTGTTCCACCAGCTCATGTGTTGGTAAGTTTTTCTTAAATAAATATGATAAATGTTCTTTAAAAGTTAATATTTTTATAAAGAAGTTAGGCTAATTTAGTATATATCGATGGGTTGCACCAAATGTAGACAACAAACTTAAAATTTTTGGTAGCATTTAGCTTGAGTTTCTTGAGAATATTTTCAATAAATGTTTAATATTTTCCAGTTAATTATTATTTTTTTAAAAGTGATGATAATAATGCTGAATAAGCAATATGTCAAATGATATATATTCACAAATCATACTCAATATTGCCTTGTATAATCCACATATTAAAGTACATTAGATAAAAAATCCTGGTTGATCCAAAACTAGTTTCTGATAGGAATATTAGAATATTAGAAAAAATAATTACTAAATTCACTAGACAGTTCGGACTGGGATTAGCGAACCAATTATAATTGAAATACACTCCAGCATTTGTCATTTTCTTTCCTACTATTTAAATCTCTTCTTCCTCTTTATTCTAGGCAAATCACCTGTTTAAACTTCATCTACCTGCACCAATGTTTAGATTGTCGTTTCACCTGTATTGGGGTTGGCTTATACTTCTCCGTCCTGTTGGCAGTTTATCTCGAGCGATTCTCACCATTATTCTTTCTATCACTCTGCCAATAGGTTAATTCCACACTTTTTTACTGTTTAGCACTCAACTAATATCATCTACCCCACATACATTCTTTAAGTTTTCACATGTTTCCCTGTATACCAGTATTATTTCCAGACTTGTTTGTAAAATTGTTATAGTAATATTTAAAAGGATATAAAATTACCTAGATTTATCATGTTCCATGTCTGATTGCTAAATAAATTGCTAACGAGAATGACTTGGTTAAAGCTGTAAACCAACTATTATTTTTTGTCCCACAATTACAGATTATGCATACTAATTATTATACTAAAACTACTATAAACTACAAAAACGTATTTAAATTTTTGTTTACATGAGCGTTATTATTATTTTTTGTATGAAAATGAGGTTAGAAAAGTCGCGTAGTTCTTCTTTTTTTTTCGTTACTTTTCTAGTCTGACAGTGAAGAGACACGTAAATATCCAATGTGTTCAGCCACAGCCCCTGTTTAAAGGCGGAGTCCCATGCATCCGATTTCCGACGACACGATGATCCGAAAGTATTCTCATTGGTCAAAATCGAATCAGAATATTTTCGCGCCGAATTTCATCCGAAATTTTTAACTACGCTTCCGACATCGGATAAAGATAAAATTATTTTAACTTTTTCCGACAAAACGGATGTTTTGTAACCTAAATTGTATTCTAATAGTTTAACATCTGTACATTTATTTTATTGAAATATGAATTTTAATCGAAGAAGCTATGTTCGTAAAGTTAATAAAAAGCTGTTATTATGTCTGCTTCTTTTAATTTCCAAAAAAATATATATAACGTACAATTCGACAAAGAAAATATTGGGTTAGTTAAATATTTAAGGAAAAAAAGTCACAAGGGGCTTTTAATAATCTATTGCACTCTTGCAGGAAATGAAGCTAAATCATGTTGACAAATATTTGCAATTACCTTAGAATGCTTAATTGCACATTTCATAAGCTACATAGTTTCTTCTACGTTATCCATTATAAACTGAGTAATTGAAAGCAGGAGAAGGGATTATTTACCATGCTGAAATAAACCCTTCTGCTGTTTTACTACGCAAAAGTGGTAAAATAGCAATTACCAGCCAAACCACCAAACATCCAAACAATAAACAAAAAATTGACCGTTGACAGTTTATACGGATTATCGTATCCGACAATCGCATCCATGTGACTAGCTTCCAAATAGCAACTTATTTTCGTATGTCGGATGCATCGAGCAAGAAGACAATAGAGGGAATGTAAAGGTAGTGGGGGCAAACATATTGTTAGACAGGAAGTGCGATCTTTAGAGGCCACATTAAACAAGGAAAGAGAGTCTCTCTCCTTGTTTGACATCAAATTTAGTTGGGTTATGTTATGTCCCCAATGACGTATAATATATAGACTACGCAGTCCCCTATTCTCGCTATAGAATCGAGTGTCCGAAAGATCTCGGCTCAAGGTTGAAGGTATGTTTATTAGAACAGCGGCGTGCTCATTTATATGTTAATGACAATAATTATTTTTTTAATTAAAATTAAATATTTATGATTTCTTTTTGTTCTCGTCTATAAGAGAAATAATTATTTTGATAAAATAGTATGGCATTTTACTAAAATAGTAAGTAAATAACTATCAACAATTTAAAATAAAATTTGCTTGTCACACAAAATGGAGTACGTCCATGATGTTTTCAAACACAAGATCAACTTCGTGATGCTTCGTAAGAAATCATGAACTTCGTGCATCTTCGTATCAAAACAATAAACAATAACAAAGGTATTCATGTTTTGGACACTTTTTAAAGCGTTCACCGAGTCTATATATTATACGTCATTGTTTGTCCCAAATGTCACATGAAATCTTATTTATATTGAAGTTTTTTAACAATTGTGTCGCATTTTAGACTCTTATCATTAATATTTAATTATAACTTTCTCGTCTAAGACACATTCTGAAAAATATTATATAGCTACTGTTGATAAGTGTCGGAAAATTTAAATTTCGCGCATTCGAATTTCCGGATATGTCCGCCATCAGAGGCCACTTTATTGGTCTCCTTTTCATAAGGATTAGATTCCCTCTTTTGTCTTATTGCTCGATGGTCGGATGTCGGAAATCGGATACATGGGACTCCGCCTTAAGGTCAATTCAGACACATCAGTCCCGTTATAGTCTCGGCGCCGAATCGGTCCTGTTTGGTCACAGAACTATCAACTATCTGACAGCTGGGAAATTGTTTGTCAACTGATAAGTGTGAATGCCGGCAACATATTTGTATTAAAGAATATTTTGTATGACGGATTGTTCGGTTCGGCGCAATCACTGTGACGAGACGTGACTGATGTGTCTGAATCGACCTTTAACCCGGCATCCCACAGGTAAATTCTTTCCCCGCTAACAGACAGGTGTCACAGTATAGACAACAATGTGGTGTGATTAACCGGATTAACGATTAACCCCAGCAATTAAAAAAATTAAAAAATCCCAAAAAGTATTTTTAACTTTATTTTTTATTATTTTGATTTGTAATACCGTTGATTGAAATATTGGAGATTAATTCAATCAACGGTAATACCACAGCACAGAATAATAAATTGATAATAAACAATAACCTCCCAAATCATATGTGTGATGTGTTTTCCTTCTAAAACATGGCGCGTGCTGCAAAAACTTCAGAGGCGGCATCTGAGAGTGGGCATTCTGATTGTTAATTATTCTGTGACAACACTAATCTATGCCACAGCCAGTGATATGTAAGAGAGTTGGACAAACTCCACAAACAATGATGGAGTTTTCTCCGATTTCCACCAATTGTTGTGGGGAAAGCTTATTAAATTCCTTTCCCCGTGCGTGTACAGTTCCAGATATTTCAGGACCATGGACTGTACAAGAGTTTTTCCTTCGATATATACAAGTAGACTTCACGGTGCTGGTTCTTTATGTGTTTGGTTTAATAGGGGTTGTACTTAGAGAAAAAATAAGCGTAATTAATTGAATCTACACATTTAATAACAAGAGAATATTTACACAAGCACTAATACTAACGAAAGAGTTCGCTTTAAAACATTGTCCATTATTATATCGGCGTTTTACGGGCGCGCGAAACTATCGAGAAAAACAAATACACGTTTCACTGCATTTTGTGGCGAAGAGAGAGATTAGTCGCTAGGTACCGGCTGGTACTGACCAGCTTGAGACTCTAGTCAAATCTGCGAGAGATTTTGGATTTAATCTTTTTTTCTCTTACATATCTCGGGCCACAGCCCACAGTATTGTTGTCAGTTATGCGGTGGTAATATAAATACACAATATTTAATTAACAAAATTAAACGAGTTTCAAGTTAAATTAAAGAGAAAAAATTATTTGTTGTTGTTTGTTTGTGTTTAAATGACTGCGGACACTAAATCCATTCGCCAATCTTACAATTTGAGGTGTAGTGTGTGTGTGTGTGTGTGTGTGTGTGTGTGTGTGTGTTTGTGTGTGTGTGTGTGTGTGTGTGTGTGTGTGTGTGTGTGTGTGTGTGTGTGTGTAGAGTAATTGTCTTGATACTTAGCAAAGTCGACGTCATTGTCTTTGCTAAGAGACGCTAATTGTATCCGAACGTCTGCGGTCCCTCCGGTGTGTACCGATCACACAAGGATAGAAATTATTTTCATTTATTAATTTTTTTTAATAAACGAAAATTTCCACCCAGGTGGGATTCGAACTCACGACCTTTAGGTTTAAAGGCAGGCGCTCTTACCACTGAGCCACAGAGGGGGTTAAAAATTATTTTTATGCATAATTAATAAAAAGTAATTTAAATTGAATTGCACAGTGTGATAGCCATGGAAAATACTGAGTGTGATAAATTACGTTGTACTCAAACAAAGATAACTAAAATAATAAAAACAATACGAATTTGAATAATTAGTCAAAATCTTGTGTAGTCCTTGCAATAGATTTGGGCATGTTCAAGGCAGAGGTAAATCTCGCAAGACTCGCATACATAGTTTTCCTGTCACGCACACGAGGACTCTTATAACTTCTTCCCTGCCATCCTGTTCTTTTTCACTTAGGTACTGGCAACTTTTTGGGAACTTGGGGAGATTAAGTACAATATAGTAAAGCTGTATCACAGTTACCCTCTGCAATCCCTGAAGCATATCAAGAGGTTGCCACAACGATTGATATTATGTTCTGTTAACATGAAGCTAAAGTTATATTAAACTTCGTTAAAACAAGAATGGAAGAGGCCAGGAAAAATAAAAATTATTATGAAACAAATCCTGATGTTCCCTTTTGTAGAAAATAAACAGAAATGGAATAAATGGAAGAATAAGGCTGAAACCAGTGATGGTAATGTAAGAAACAATCAACCGTTCGTAACGATATCATCACTAGCTATCAGCACCGTCCCGCCAACGCTTTGTACGCACGTACTCCCATTGCTAAGTTTACTTCCATCGATGCGCGCTAGAGGAGAAAGAAGGCTGACAATAATATAAAACAATGCCGTACGCCACAAGAGAGACTCGAGTTCCGCCAGAGTGCTAATCTGGTGGGAACTCCATCGAGCCATTGGATGTTGACCAAAGGCCAACAATCCGGAGTTCCATCAGAGTAAGAGTGTTGATCTGGAAACAACTGCACTGAGAAGTGACTAAGTGTTACTTCCCGCTCCTTACCGGATCGAGTGTTCGATCCGTCGATCTATAATCCAGATTATTACTCCTTCTCTTTAGCGTGTACTTATTTAAATTTTATTGTACATATTGTCTATGATATAATTTTATTTTGTTATTTATTTATTTCGAAAATATTTTTATATAGATTAATCATCATCATCATCATTCTGGCTTTACAACCCTACGTGGATCCTAGCCTCCTCAAGATGTTCTCTCCAGTCGTCCCTATCCATCACCTTTCTCCGCTAAGCACGTATTCCCATATTTCTCATGTCTTCATCGATGTTATCAAAGAACCTTGTTTTTTACTTAGATTAAACCTATGTTGTATTGGGTCTGCTGTCTACCCGTCACACATGTGAATTTAAATGCCATAACGGTGAAAAATGGGGCACAGGCGCTATCAGTGTTGAAAAACTGAAAATGTAAATAAATAGAGTACTCTCAGTAGAAAATGATGAAAATGTAACATTTTTGACTGCAGAGGAAACTACTTTATTTACCAACTCAAAATCTAGTGAAATAAAATTCATAATAGATTCGCTACTAATTACTTAGGAAGGATACTGAAAGGTTTTCAGATAGTATCATTGGTAGTAACAAGGTGATTTAAATCTACAAGCAGTAAGCGGTAAACAAATTGAAATGAAAAATGTATGGGTGTGTAAGGTAAACCTACCAGTTATTGACACATTTAGAGGGAAAACCTTCATTAAAATATTCCTACTCT